AGCAAGTATCATTTTATCATTTTGCAAATAAATAGACTGAGATTTTTCCAAATCACCTCATATTCTGAATCAACTTTAGGGATCTTTTAACTGAGAATTGCCCTCTTATGGTAGTCGGTAGTATAGAAAAGGTTGTCATCTGCTTTTTTTTTTTTTTTTTTTTTTTGAGACAAGCCCTCCTTATGCATTTCAGGCTGGCTTTGAACTCACTCTAGCCTAGGCTGGCCACTATCAAGGTGATCCTCCTTCCTTAAAAGTTTCCAAAATGCAGTGGCAGATACAATAATGACTCCTAGAGAAAAGGCTCCTGAAAATATTCTAACTGGTCTCTTGATTTATCAAGAGTACTGCTCAGAGCTAGTAAAGAATAACATCGATACAGTTTTTAATTTATCTGCCAAAATTCTGGACTCTGGATTGCTGTACCTAGTTCTTTGTGTGTAAGGGTGAATATGTAACCTGAAATTACTAGAATATAAACTGGTATCACAACATATATGTATACTCATACACACATTTTTCCAAAGGGATATTAGATCATTTATTTATCTTCAGAATAATATTTAACATATTCCAAAATAGTACAAACCAAAGAAGAGTCACTCGTCCCCCTGGGATTCAATTTCACTAATGCTTAGGATAACTAAAACAATAATAATTACAAAAATGAATCTGTTCTCTTTGAAAAAAAAGACCTATCTGCCAGGAATTAAGTTCAGATCATTTTTACTTATACATGTAAATTTATACCATCACTTTGCTTTAGTGTAGCATTTTAACTTATAATAGCAGCCATTCACCTGCTAATACATGCTGCCTGGGTTTAATGAGAAAATTCTTATCTCACTTTCTCTGGGCCTCACCTTGTGAAGTCTGTCATTTCCATCATGATCATACACATCTGCTTGGCCAGTACAATGATATCATTGCCGCTGTCATCCCACTTGGCCACTTCGGCATCCAGCTTGCTTTTTTCTTGGTGGAATATCTCCACCTGTTCGGCTATTTTTGCTTTTTCCTCCTGCGGTAGTTGTGCCATGATGGCCTGTGTAGGTTATAGGGGAAAAAAAGTGTGTGACTATTGATGACCACCACAGCAGTACAGACTGTGTGGACTCTGCTTCTTGTGGATGGCAGAGCCAGATCTGGACAAGGTTTATGGGATGCCCTGCTTTTCTGGAACATGCATCTTTCTTATCTCAGAGAAGCCAAGAGCACAGGCTGGCAATGTCCCCAAATTCCCTGTCCCCACTCTCATATACAAAAAATAGAGAGAGATCCAAAAGTACATGCACACTGATGGTAACAGAACTTCTCTGTCGCTTTGATGACATATGTTTGTTGAAAAGAATCTATTCTTGGCAATTTTTATATTTGGTCTCAGGAAACTTTTACCAGATGAAAGAATGTACTTCTTTCAATACTGAAATCTGTTCAGAGAGGGGGGAAAAAGAAAAAAGGCCTTCTGTTGCTGGGAAGAAAAGGAGTTTTAAACCATATCTGAGCATTCAAGTACAATAGGGAGGGGAGACTATGAGTGGAAATGAAGGCGTCCACAGAGAGGTGCTAAACAAAAGTCCCCTCTGCAGGGCATTTCAGGAATGGCATGCCTAATCTTACCCTTCTGCCTTCCCATGTGGAACTCCCTGGAGAGTAAGATATATTCAAGTATGTACACAGAGGAGTTATCATAGGCGAAAGTATAGGCTGGCCATCCTTTATCTGAAATGCTTGGGACTAGAATTATTTCCCATTTTTAAACTTTTCAGGTTTTGCAAAATTTGTATAAACTTTACTACATGAGCATCCATAATCCAAATAGCTGAGATTTTTTTGTGTGTCACATCACAGTCATAGTTTGAATTTCTTAGGATTTCAGATTTTGAACATTCAGATTAAGGATGTTCAATAGGATTAGGAAACAAAGGTGATTTTTTTCAATAGTTGCTGGGTACAGGAATGTGAACAGAAATGTTAGCGGTTTTCCTTCTCATTATTCACAGACTTTCCTTTACAAATTTGCCTACTGTAAAATACATTTGCTAATTGATTTGTAAGTCAATACTTAAGGTACTTTAAAATTATTTGCAAATGATAAGGAAAGTAGCAAAAAATGGAGTCACCTGATGTAAATATTCCCAGATGAGGTAAACCAAGGCAATTCTCTTCTCTACTCTTTCTGCTTTCATTGTGTAAACAAGTGTCTCTTTTGCAGTCTATTTAGTACCATATTTTTCATATCTTTTTGGTGTTTTGGTGGTTTTGCTGTGGGATTTTTTTGCTTAAATTCTTTTATTGGTACATTTTAGGTATACAATATGTTTACATTTATCATTGGGTGCTTGTACCTCTACATGATACATCTTGGTTCTTATTTTTTCCCCATTCCCTGTGTTCCCTTCACCCCCGAAGGGTTTCGCTGTTTAAGTGGCCCCCAGGAGCAGTGCTGAAGGGCTTGCTAATGTCCCTAAGCACAAGAAGGTGGTGATATGCCTCAGGGAGAATATATAGGTGCTAGATAGATTTGTTTAGGTGTGTTAGTGCAGTAAGTCTTGAGTTTAATGTTAATGAATCAGTGATACAAAATAAGACAAAATGAATTAGAAATATAAGAACTATTAAACATGCTTATATATTGATTGGATGAAGAAAACTTTGTGAATTGCAGCTTTCAGATGCCTAAACTTGCTTTTACCCTAAGAGCAATAATCAAGTATTCACCCACTAAGTGTTCAGTTACTTGATAAAATATAACTACTAGAAATAATAATAAATGATTGTTTCTGTTAAACACCATTTGTGTAGCAAATCCCACATGAGATGTTTGGCACTATCTCATTACATCTTCCTAAAACCACATGCAACTGGACTCAAAAATTGTGGACAGTTTGTCAGTACTTTGTCTGTTGTAGAATACATGTGTCCTCCAGGAGAGCATCCAAATGTGTGTGACTTGGGGTGTCTACAGTTTTTGCAATGAACAAGTAAAATTATTCAAGGAAGTTGCTACCTAAATTGTAATGCTCCACCCAATATGAGTGAATTGATGGAGAGACAGCTAAGGTCTAACCAAAATAACAGTGGACATTAGTTTAAGAAAATTGGGGTCTATGGCACTCTGCTACTGATTTGGGTTAAGACCTAACTTGCTTATTATATCAATTTCTTAAGGCATAATATAGAAGTAGTACATAATTACCTAAAAGATCATGATAGGCAGCAAATGAAATTTTAAAATGTATGTTTTTCCACCAAAAAAATAAGAGTAAGCATGAATAATATTATTATTTACATTATAGTATCAAAATTTCTGCCATTAGTTTACCTTTTCGCTCACCCTTAGCTTATTGGGAAGGAATGGTCCCAGAGTCTATATGACTATCTATAAATAGAAAACTGGCATGATTCCTTGGGTATATACATTTATCCCAGAATTATGCTGAAGTTTACTTATATCATACTACTTCTTTCAAATATTATTATTGCCCTCATTATAATAATAATGATGTCTAAACCCAGAGAAATTAATTCAGTTCATAATACCACACAATTTGTTAGTTGTAGAAACAGAATTCAAATTCAATTAATATCATTCTTAATTGTGCATAACTAGATTACCATACAGGACTATGGTGTTTATGCTCTGCACAAGGGTTCCCCAGGCCAGTGGGGCAAGGGGCACTAAATTCACCAGCACTGCCCACTGGGCTGTGCATCCTGGGTTACAGTTTCATATGTCCAGAGTAAGAAACATCTTTGCCTGATTGCCATAAATGTGTCCTTGGACTAGCAGCCCAAATGCTGCATCATCTTATTAATACACACCCATGTTTTCTAACTTCCATGCATGTGTATGTATGTTTACGCAGTTTGGATCTGTGTGTGTAATTATAACCAATATTTTCTTTTCTTTTCCTTTTTTTTTTTTTTTTTTTTTTTTATTGAGGGTCTAACTCAGGAACTTGCACTTGCAAGGCAGGCACCAGAACCAGTGAGCTAAATCCCTGGCCCTATAAATGATGTTTTAAAACCCAAATACAAAGTTAAATACAAAGTGGAGTAAATACGAAGTTAAAGAAAAATATTGAGAAAAATATTTTAAAGTACTTTTATAAACTTTATTATAAAATCCACATAATGTAAACAGTTTGTCATAAACACACTTTGGTGGTATTGTGCTGATAACAAAGTAGCTATTCTATTGCACTTTCAATAGGCTTCGATTTGAAGAAACTAAATACATACTGTTTTCTCTGACATATCCTTGTCTGGTTCTCTAATGATCTACTAAATTCATTTTTCCTCCTTATACAAAAGAGCTAATCCAATTTTATTTAGATGGCACGGGTCCTAGGCTACCAGAATGGAATCTGTTCACTAAGTGCTTCTCTATAAAACAAATCTGCAAGACTACTAGAAGACTCCAGATTCTATATTCAGCCCCAAGAGGAAACATAATACATCTTTCATTGTCCCCAAAAGGTTAATTTGTGCAGTGAAGGGTACATACTTCTCTGTCAACCATAGCACTTGAGTTTCTACTGTACAATTTGAATATTAACTGCTTTGCTTTGCTCAGTAATTAATTTCTATCAATGGCTTTCACTTGATTTCTCTATGTGCTTTCTTAAGGTACAGGCCTTCACATTCCCTGCTTAAAACAGAAACTCAATAAATACCTTTTGATTGACTGCTAAACCATTTTTATATTCATTGTCTCAACATATTTCAAGAGAAGTTGACAGATTTGACAAACACTTTCAAAGGACAAAATTCTGAAGAATCACTGGCCCCCTCAAAACAGATTAGCAAAGGAAGATATTATCTCAACTCTAGGGGTACTTGACCCTTATAGTACACTTAATAGTGTGTGATTTGGGTGCAAGTATCATTACATTTCTTCTGCTTACATAGTTATCAGTGAGCGGAAGTCTTTTCCTAAATATTCTTAAAATGCTCTTGGCTTTTAAAAATTCATAATTGACCTTTTCTGAAACTGGAATTTAAAAAAAGGTTATCCATAAACAGTAGATCACAAACTGCAAAATTTGCAAGTTAATCAAATTAAAATTCAACACATGATTTTTAATTAGGTCTTATCAATGTAACTCAGCAATTTGAAATGTTAACATATTAAAGCCATTCTAGCTAGGAAAAAAATAGGGGCTGTCTGTATTAAAATCAAATTCAATACAAAATATATAACATGCAATTGTTTATTCCCTCAAGTTAAGGGAACATGAAGAAAATTATGTTCATGGCCAAGAGAAAAGAAAACAAATCAGCTCTTTGTTGGTGTTATGTGATCACCAAGGGCAGTCTGAGAGTTTCTCCTACTTCTGTCCACTCTACCCGAGCACAATTTCTAGACTGGTTAAATCTGGGATTCAAACGGGGCTGTCAGAGATTAAAATCCAGGATTCCTACTCTTCCTCCCAGGCTCCTACTCTTTCCACTGAACAGCCAACCATTTGTTGTGATTAATGTAATACATGCTACCTATTAAAATAAAGTGCAAATCACTGATATACGTCGGCAATCATTAAAGAGATCTAAAAGGAGCACTGAATATAATTATTTTTACAATCTCCAGGAGAAAATTACTTTGAAGTATAGGGGACCCAAACCAACAAGTGTTCCTTTCTGAAACACAGAACAAGACTCTAACATTAAAGCTTCAAGTACAAAAGTGTTTATAAATAATGTTTGAAGGGCTAAAACCCAATGTGCCTATTTCTGCTCATTTGGTTTTAAAATAGGATAATAAATATAAGGAGTTAAGGAGTGGTTCCTTTGATTCTTACTAGTCTCAGACTGTGAAGTGAACTGGAAAATTGAGATAATTGTTCCATTAATCCAAGAGAAACCTCCCATGATTGCCTAAGATCTCTTTTTTAGGTAAGTCATTTGGTCAGACTGCCATTATCATCTTCATCAACAACTTAATAATCATTGCCTAGTTATAGGATCAATCATGACATAATACGGTTCTCCTAATGTCATTACGAGGGTTAAAAAACCCTTCATATCACCCTTACATACACTAGGAGATGAGGCATGGAGTAGTTAAGAAAGTTGTCCCAAAGTTACACAGCTTCGCCAAGCCCATATTTTGAAATCAGGTCTGTATGACTCCAAATAATATATTCTATCACCCAGATTAAGTGTCCAAGTGTTGTCACTGACCAATTTTAACTATTAAAGCCTGAGAAAAAAGTTTATAAGATGCCATGCCCAGAATCAAAGGAAAAGAACCCCATGGAATATGAGATTAAAACCATATTATCCATTCCCATTCCTTCTCTCACTCCTCATCAAAACTCTATAGATACACAGCAGTTGGGGACATATAAAGGAAATAAGAAATACTTTAATTCTAGAATTTGACAGCAACATTGGAGGAAGGTAGTAAAGGCTAAGGTCACACTCTAAAGTCACTTTAAGAATTTCTCTGAATAAGAATATAAAACATGGCCATTGATAGGGAGCACTGGCTGCTGGAAAGACCTAATGCCTATGACAAAGACAAATTTGCCTCCTTCACAATTTTGACCACTTTATTACACTTTTGTGGTCAAAAGTTCAGCCATCTATCATCTCAGCAGTTCAATGCACCTTCTTATTTCCAACTTAACAGCCATAATTCTATGTCTCTGATTTGTCATCATATAATTACAGACTTCATAGAATGACTCAATAAATAATTCTGTTTGCTCCAAGTTAATCACACAGATCACATGATGGACCTCCAAGAGAAATTAGCAAGTGTTGGGTTATTGTAGTATTTTGAACCATGTTCAAAATTTATTTTGAAAAAAATTTCCAAGAAAAGACAATAGGGTGAAGAAATAAAAATGATAAAAACAGAGTCAACCAAATTTTGTTTTTACACAATATCACTGACTTACTATCTAACACAAGTAGCACACATGAAATAGAAGTATGTTGGGCCTCTATTCTTCCTTGTGGACCAATTGTGCCCCTTGCACAGGATCACCATCATAAAGCAAGATGAGAGTTATATGACATGTTTTGGTCTTTGATAAAATGAGTTAGCTGACCTGGGACTCTGTCTACACTATCAGTCAGTCAGTGAAATGAACTTTGAATTGATTAATGTTTGGATGAGTTGCTTAAACTTATCCTTTGTCACTGACATAAAAAGCCTAGTTTTTCTTCATTCTAAAGATGAATTTGACTTGACTGATGAATTTGTTTCATGTTATGCCAACACACCCTCAAAAATACTCTTGCCTAAGGATCTTTACGATTTTTAACAATTAGGGAAGATTAAACAATCTGCAGAGAATTTTGAAGGAAGGGGGCTCTCTACTCTCATGAACTTTCTACTTCACCATCATATGATCAGAAGGGATTTCTCTTCCAAAGAATGATGATTATCAGAGCCATCCTTTCTTGAGTACTTATTACACAATAAATACTATGCCTATTATTTTATAAATACTAAGTATTACTCAAAAGCATACTATCAAGTCTATCATTCACATTTTACAGATGATGATATCTGAAGATGATGGGTCTGTAACTCAGACGTCAAGCAATGTATAGCTCTGAGCAAGGTCCTAAGTCCAGGTTTTACAATTCAAACTCAAATTTGTCCTAAAGCAAATCTACTGTGCTTTTGATGTTCTTTTACCTTCTCGTTTCTTCCATCAATGTCCATGTACATCATCTAGATCATTTAATTTAGGGATGAAAATATTAAGGCATAACACACCTCAGAGAAGTTGGATTTTAGGCAAAATGCTTTTCTTGACTCAACACTTTCTTTGTATTCTCTTCATTTTAATCTTTAATTGGTTGTTTTCTACTTTATTTCACAATTGTTAAGATAGTGTGGGGTCTTCCCAGTCCTCCTCTTAAATTATTATCCTTTTCTCAACCTCATTCTTTATATTTATTTTTTTTCTCTATGTAGAGGATTAGAATATCTAATTCTTAGTCATACTATACTTTCTTTGTTTTTTTCCTCTATGGAAACTGAGGCTTTAAAGAGAGGGAAATTTCACCCTTTTATGCAATCCATAAGGATTTCATCACCCACCACTTGTCTTGAGTACTTATATCTATCCTGCAGGAAGTATAGAAAACCCAGTTTGCTCTTCAACAATTTACACTGGTGACCATGTCATGGAGTATTCAAATGCCATGAAGACCTAACATATTTCTGTGACTCTGTATTTTCTTTTTTCTATCACATGGCAGAAGATTTAGCACTGGGAACAGGTAGGTAAGTGGGGGACACTACTTTTCTCTATTTGATGACCTTGAACCAATGTGTTCTTGAGTATCATATAACCTAGCCCAGAACATGGTGCTATAAACCATTTAACAGAGCAGTACTCTGATACCACATTGCCTCTTATGCTGTTAACAAGCTTAGAGATCTCAATCAGGACAATAGTGAGTGTGCTATGCAAAATTTAAGCAGTGTCCCTGTTTATCTAATTACGATACCCAACCCAAGTAAAATCCATTCCACACATTAAAGTTTGCTTTGATACAGCTGCTGTTTCAAGTGACTGACAAAGGGAAGAGTTAAAAGCAATCAAGACCACTAGTGGTTAGTTTCACTGTGTAAAATGAGAATTGCTATAGACAGTGCCAGAGGAGAGCACCATTTCCTGAGTCATCCAATCTCTGGAGTCCCAACTTCTGGAATTCAGAAATTTTCTAACCATTTCAGGGGGCATAGCTCCTATGCACAAAACCAAAGTTCTGAAGGTCCACTCACCCGTGCACTCTGGCCTGCAATGAGCTGGTCATCCTCTGTCTGAACACTTGTCCGGCTACGCACATCATAATCTTCCTGCTCAAAGTCAGAATCATCTTCTAGTTCTTCTGGGGTCTAAACATCAAGAGGAAAAGAGAAAACTTTTACAGAAATTTAAAGAATATTCAAAGTGATAATTTGCATACCCATCCATATACTTCTTTATTGCAAAAGCTAAGGAGCACCCTGGGAAGATCTATAGGGTCCTAGGCATAGTAAAAACTATGTGGGTGATATTGAGTGGAAAAATCCTGAAAATCATGCTGTTCTAATTTACTTGTTTCAAGGAAATTCATTTTCCTTATTATTTCTTTCTATACGTGTCCTAAGTCTGACGTTATAAAATGCTAAGAAAAATTATGTTCGGTTATTATTTACACCCACCTAAATCTATTATAACATAGAAAATAACCGCATTAAAATAAAATTTCAAACTATTCTGCTTCTAAAAGTCCTTTTTGGTCTAGTCTAGGTCATTTTTTCCTCAATAAACAAAAGGAATGACAATCTCCAGGTGAGTGGTTAGAAGTCTTGAAATACCTGGTATGGTCACTAAACCCCGAGGTATAGAGGTTACAGGTAGACTTTACAGTTAGGACTGCCTGAGTATGAATCCCTGGGTCCCATGAGCAAACTACCTGGCCTCTCTGAGCTTCAGCTACCCCTCTGTAAATTGGTGCTGATAATAGTAGCTGTCTCCATGACTGTGGTGAAGGTTAAGTAAAACGCTGTGTAAAGAATAATCTGACACTGGGGCTGGGGATTTAGCTCAGTAGTTTCACTGCCTGCTGCACAAGTGCAAGGACCTGAGTTTGATCCCTGGTACAAAAAAAAGAATAATCTGACACAAAGTAGACATTTAAAAAATATTTGCCATCATCATTATATAGAATGTTGAAATACATTTATTCAATAATTTTAAAAAAGGAAAACTACCAATTACAGTGGTGTCTCAATTCACAAATTTAATTTGTTCCACAATTCTGGAAAAGATGGCCACATTCATGTTTAAGCATGAAAGATAGCTGTGTCATGGTCGTCTTCTGATGTAAAGTAGGCAAACAAAAACAGAATTTTGGAAAACACTTCTGTTTGTGAACCAAATTTTTCGCAAACAAAAGTAAACCAAGGTACCACTGTACTTAACATCCACTATGGATTAAAAATTTTTCCATGTATAATATCAGCTTCATTCAAATAAGCACTATGAAAGAGGGGCCGTTTTCTATTTAGAGATGAAAAAAACAATGTTCAAAGAATTTAACCAATGTCCCTGAATTTAACAATGTATTCCATGTCCCTGAATTAGTTATCAACAGAACCAGAATTTAGACTTACACACGCAAGTGTGCCTAACTCTGAATACACTGTACTTTATTTGTTGTTGTAATGGTGGTGGTGGTCCAGAGTACATGAAATTTTTTCATATAACCAGTTAGGCAACAACTAGAGCTACAAAAAGGCATTATGGAATGTTAATGGCTTACTCTAGAGTTAGATTAACATTCTTTCCAATCTATAAAATCCATTGGAGAAAAGATAAGAATGAGAGCCAGTGTAGGGGGAATGCCTGTAATCCCAGCACTGCAGGAGACTAGGAGGAGGATTTCAAGTTCAAGCTCTGTCTGAGCAACTTAACAAGACCTTGTTTTAAAAGAATAAAAGCTGTGGGGATGTAACTCAGTGCAAAGGCCCTGGGTTGAAGCCCCAGTAAAACACACACACACACAAACACACACACACACACACACACACAGATAAAAATGAATCTATAAACCATGGAGTAAAAATGAGTCCCAATTTTAATGGCAGTGATAAAAAACAACAAGTATGCACTGCCTAATAAGTGTCCATCTCTGTTTTCTCTAAGTGTTTTGTACACATTGACTCAGGAAGATTTAACACACTTATAATGTCAATACTACTTTCTCCATTTTACAGGCAGATAAATTGAGGCATGAGACCTTATAACTTACACAAAGCATTTTAAGTCAGGCAATTTCAAGTGTGTACTCTAATCTATTGTGCTCAATTAGCCCTAAGCAGAGATGCTTGGGGAGTAACAAAGATGGTACACAAGGACAACAGGGGGCATCAGTGTGAGATGGGCAGCTTGACTGTCACCACAAACTGAGAGCAGGGTCACTCTCCAGTGGTCTGCCTTTCAAAAGGACATACCAGTAGCACTGAGGATGCAGTTGGCCACTCCTCATTCCAAAAGGACACATTTTTATTCTGCTGATCTCTTTGGCTACCTCAGTGCAATTAATCAGGTGTGGTTATTGATGAAACCTTGAGCTTGGTCAGACAAGCATAAAATGGGGTCCTTCACGCTAATACCCCATTATGCCTAGTAATTTTCCATATTTTAGCATATCACTCTTATTTTTTCTTCTTTCTTGCCATCAACTTTATTAACATTCACTCAGTCATCTACATACATTCAATTTTCTTTCATAGGAATATTAAAAGAATAGGAAGGGAAAGAGGTTTTGTTCCCATATTCTATTAATTAAATAGGGGGTAGAGTATGGAGAACCTGGTTCAAATAACTGGTCATGTTTTTGTTTTTGTTTTTTTGGTACCAGGGATCGAACTCGGGTCCTTGAGCTTGCAAGGCAGGTGGCGGAATCACTGAGCTAAATCTCCGGCCCTGGTCATGTTTTTATTGTGGACAGAGATAATATTCTCTGTTCATTCCTCACTCTTCTGGAATGTACAGAGAAACAATTACAGCAAGTTGGTAAATTCTGCTGACAGATGAGATGACAAGATTACAAGCACTTTTTATCATTAGTTCTTGAAAGGGAGAGAGAAAAGTAAAATAAAAAACCTCACACAACAGAAAAGAAGCAGAATATGACAGGGCCTATAACACAGTATCCAAACATCTCAGTGATCTGGGCCTGGAGTACATGACTCAATGACAAACCCAAAGCAACACCATAAGGCTGGTAATGAGGAGCTTTTCTTCAAGTGACAATACCCTCAGAACCAAAATAGAGTAAACATTTTAAATTAAAAAAAAAAACAAACCTGGATGTGGGCCCAGGGGACCTGAGTGATTAAGACTTAGCCCTGCTACTCACAGCTATGTCTTTGGGAAGCCATTTAATTTTGCTGCTTCTGTGTCTCTTCAACTATAAAATGGAATTTTTTAATTGTATTTGCTCTGCCTGCCTCACAGGACACCTAAATTTGTGTGTGTGTGTGTGTGTGTGCACGTGTGTGTGTGTGTGTGTGTGTATCTTGCAAAGTATCAAACTGAACTAAATTTATAAATGCTAGTGATAATTAGTATGCTTAATAAAACATAACACCTAATAACTACAATAGCAATAATAGCAATCATTCTTTACCACCCACTGGGACAGGCATTCAGATAACAGACTTAATCCTTACAACAACTTGATGAAATAAATTTTTAAACCTCTATTTTGCAGACGTATGTACAGGCTTATCATCATTAAGCAAAATATCCTTAGTATCACACTTAGCAAGTGGTAGAACTGGAGGGCAAGTTTAGGGTCCAGAGTCTATGTTCTTAACCTTCAAAAATACCACCAAAAGTGGATGAGTTTAAAATATTTTCATGTGCCTGAAACATATAGCAAATCCAACCCAGCTATCTATATAAATAGTTCTGTACATGTATAGTTGGCTAATTGCATGTAAATGTGTCTCCTACTCACATTGTTATTTTTTGAATTACTCAATTAAAAAAATATGAGTATTAGTTATTCAGTCAAATACCTCCATACATTAAAGGAGACACATAAAATTGGATTGTTTACAAATGGGCCCAGAGAGATCAGATTTTTCTTGTAAGGTAAAGACATTTTTAAAAATATCCAATTCACTGGAATGAGGCTAAAGACTAAGGATCAAGCCTCAGCTCTGCCCTGAGCTGCTCCCAGAGAGGACTTTTTAGACCAAACAAAAATCACTTTGGGCATGCTCCCATTTCCATGCATTTGTTACCCTGGAACATGGAATCTAATCTGCAAAATGGCACCTCCAAAATCTCTCTCTTGTAAATCTGCTATTTATGCCCATTAGTTGATGCTCAGTACAGAGGCCCAAAATGGCATCTTGTCCAGAGACACACACCTCAGCTGCAAAACAGGTTCAATCTACAAACCTCTTGTATTCAATCTCTACAATCACCTCTTGTTGTGACTTGTGTCTACATGTCCCCCCAAAGCCTCAGGCAGTCACGGGGGGTGCTTTTCAGAGGTGCCTGTATCTAGAGTGTGTGGTGCTGGGATCAAGGGTGTGTGATTACTAAATCAGTCTACTAATTGGTTTGGCATAGTTCTTGCTAGGATTAAGGGTGTGAGTTCTACACCCACCCTAGTGCGGGTATCCTGTGTAAATATAAGGGACACAAAGAGGGCTAGTGTGCTTTCACCTGCCCTCTTGCTGTGGAGTGTTTCTCCTCTGTGATGCCCCTGTGCCATGCCACCCCATCTTGGAGCCAACCGACTATAGACTGAAACCTCTACAAACCGTGAGCCAAAATAAACCTTTCCTCTTCTTTTTTTTTTTTGGTACTGGGGATTGAACTCCAGTCCTTGCACTTGCGCAGCAGATGGAGAAACCACTGAGCTAAATCCCTGGCCTAAACCTTTCCTCTTTTAACTTTGGGTGTTGGGCATTTTGTTTCAGCAATGAGAAGAGTAACTAAGACACCTCTATACAGAAACAAAGTGAGAAAATGTAGAAGAATTCAGAGTGGTTTCCCTGGAAAACTCTGAAACCAGACTTGTTTCACTTGTGGGTAAAATGCATTAAGAATCACTTAAAGAAAAGGCTCAAATGTAAATGAGAATTTCTTTAAAAGAAGAAAGGAAAATATAGGTTGGCAGGAGATTTGGGGTAACATGTAGGGAAGAATTTCCCAAGAGAGCTATATACCACTGGAATGAGTTGTAGACTAAAAAATAAACCTAGAGATCTAAAATCAGTATTTAAAAAATTCTCCCCAGTCAAGACCAACTGGCCACAAGTATTGTATTTCTAGCTTGAATTACTGTGAAGACCTCCTAATTGTTCTCCCAACTTTGATCTCTGCC